CTTCCCCATTCTGTAGAAGTCAGAAAATACTTAAGTGTAACATAACAAGTTAGAGAAAAGTGTGTTTCTGGGGAATGTTATTTTCTGCAAAAGAGGGAAAAGAGATTTCCTGACCTTTTTGATCCTCTTTATTCTTATCTGTGGGTCTTCAATGCGTGTGGCCTCTTAGTTTTGACTTCTAACACAGTCAAACAAAAATAAGAGACTAATCCATACTAATATAAAGGAAATAAAACTCAGAAATACAGCATTCTAATGAATGTAAAACAAAATTAATGCAATACATTTCAAAATGGCAGCTTTTAATGAAATAGTTAGCACAGGTTAAATTCTTGTCATAAGACCCCTCACTTTCCATGCTTGTCTTGAAAACTGTATACAGAAACAGCACTGTGCATTCAGTTGATTCAACAGTAGCTTGGTACCAGAAAACAGAACTGCCTTTATATTAATGTTTTCATTCCTTTTAATACATATTTGCCACAGGGATGAAAAGATGTTGCCTGAATCTTTTACTGTGCATGTTTTAATTTACTAGTCCAGGTGATGAGCCATTAAAATAAGTAAATTTGCTCAAAGCATATTTCATTTTCTAAACTAGGATGCTTAACGAACACTCGCGCTGTTTGTATATAGAGGCACATGATACACGTGAGTTTAGCAGTGTCAAACCATATGAAGAAGCTTTCTCTTAGTTCCAGAGAATCCTAAATCATTCTTGGAGCAAAGAATAGTCAGACACACTCCTCAGTGGGTACCAAATACTCAGAAATGGTGTACATTCAAATTTAGGATACAGAAGACTTCCCATCCCACTCCTTTAAACCTGGCTCAAGAGCTTACCATCAGAAGCAGCGCTGAAATGGACACTTATGCACAGGTAACCAGGAGACTGAAGACTGCAACTTTAAAACATCTCCTTTTGCCTAAGCCAGCAGAGTAGTGCTTTACAATATGCAGTTTACATAACCAGAAAAAGGGAATTTTTAAAACCTCATCAGCAGCTCTCTCTGCTCATTCTGCCACTCCCTGCTTCATTATGATTTAATGTGAAAATTTGGAATAATTTTATATAATCATCAGGCATTTGAATAGGAAAACTACACATCTTCCCTAAGTCTTTTTTCAAGTTTCTACTCAAATGAATCTGAAGAAAATATTTTAATATTTAAATAATTCAGATCCTTGTGAAGGATTTGGTGCCTCAACTTAAAAGCACGCTTTTGAAGAATTTAGACATACTCCAGTTTGCATTGGAAGTGCTTAATCCTTAATTCTTCTTATAAAATAAGAAATCCTATTGCCTTTAAAAGCGTGACTTGATTTCCATCACCTTCCTTTTCAAGCCAGTGCTGTTTGCAGCTAATCTACCCATTCTGAGCTTTCTCATTACTTTCCGGTTCACAGTGTCAAGACTCAAATATAACTGCAGGAAGAATCTGAATTCATAAAGCCTGGTAAGAAGAAGGGAAATTGTTTTCTAATCTTCAGTAGCAAAATAGTATTAATCTGAATAGTATTAATCTGAATAAAGCGGCCTGTGAATAATATTCACCTTTGAAGGTGAAAGAGTAGTCCATAGAAATTACAATGACATTGGGCAGTAATTTCCAGCCAGGTCTTTTAAAAAGAGCTGCCTCATGTATCTTCTATCTATTTGGATAAAATGAAATAAACAGCACAAAAAAATCCTTTCCATCTATATTTTATCAAATATAGTGCCCTATTGATTCACACAACCTATTAATAATGTACTTTTCTCCCTCATCAGGAAGGATTGATGATTTGTTTGAGCAACTATGTGCAAAGTTTACCCAGTCTGCTTGGTTTGCTTTGTAATTAATTGCTGCTGTCGCAATTGTAACAGTGTCACTGGAGCACCTAGCAGATCCAAACCAGAAAAGTCTCTTTGCACCATCAGCAAACTACGGATTGTTATTAACTCTCCACATTTGCTAGTCCTCACGTATGCAATTACAATTGGTTTGCTTAGATACCTCATAATATTGATACCAGAAAGAGAACTGTCTAACATCCAAGTTTTTGGCAGGAATAACAAGAGTTGGCTTGTGTTCTTCAATGGAGCTTGTTCCCAAAAAACTCTGGGATCTCTCAGTTTGTAAAGATGCAGATGTGCTGAAATTTGTACTGAGCTTTAGTAAATGTACAGTCAACCAAAGCCCTGGTTACCTCGTTTTCATGCAGCTCTACTGCAGAAGTGAGTCTGAGTTTCCGATGTGGCAGATGCTTGTGCGAGGGGCCAGGCAGGATCATATTGGAGAATTTACACACCAAAGAGTAATCAATTTTAACTGAATCACATAGGATGTTATCATTTTCTCTTATTCAGGAGAATTTAAGGGTTGTCTGTAACAGCACTGTTGTAACAGGAACAAAGTTTATGGGGAACAAGTAGATTTCTGACAAGGTTATGGCTGATTTATCCATTGATTGTTGGAATAATTTCAAGAAAAGCTTTTTAAAAAAAAATAAAAAGGCTGGAAACAACTTAAAAGCCTGATCCAATTATGTTTCAAGACTGAATAAAAGTAGAGGCCAAGACAATTAAAACATTATGAGTGCATGGTGTATGGTGATAGCACTCTGTTAGTTTCAGGTGCAAGTGAAAACCTAGCACCTTGCTTGGGGCTATTCCTATGCTTGTGGGATTTTCAGTCCTGTAACTGGTGGTGTTTCAGTGCAGTTGGAAATGTGAGTGTGGGTAAGATTTATTCTTTAAAATGGTCATGGAGATTGCAAGAATTAATGCTGTTTGGGGATTTTTTTTTAACAGGGTTTTTTAAAAACAAGCCAAAACAAAGCTAGAAAGGGAGTGTGTAAGCAGCTCTTCCTTCCAAGGCAGGGATTTTTACAAAGGTCCAGCGACGGGAAACACTTCTCATACACACACAGTACCGTTGCCAGGGTGGGTCCTGGCATTTTGTTGTAGCTTCTTAATTACTTATGCGACCCACGGTGAATTTCTGAAGAACCTGGCCCCTGCAGACGGAGCCCCGGCCCGTCAGGCCCCGCTGGCCCCCCACGCGGAACCAGGCGACACCTGCCCCTC